CAAAGGCCACCCCCCCCCCCAGCCCCACCGGGAGGTCCCCAAGGGAGGGATGCTGACCCCCAAATTTGGGGGGGGGACAAAAAGGGGAGGGAAAGGGGTGGGTGGCGTGCGACACCCAGACACCGAGCATCCCCAGGGACCCCCCCGCCATCCCGCTGGGCCCCCCCCTCAGCTCACGGGCATCTCTCTCGGATGACTCCGGTGAAACGCAGGCGAAAAACGGGGGTTGCGTCTCTCCGGGCCTCGGCCGGTTGTTTTTTTTCCTTCCCCGGGCGGCTCCTCCGGCGGCTCCCGCGGGGACGCTGGGCCCGTGGGCGTCAGGGCCTGGTCGCCAGCCGGGCCGTGGCCAGCCCGAGCCCACGCCGGGCACGGGGCAGGCGACAAACTCCCATTTCCTGCCTCCGATCAGCCCGGGCGATGAATCACTGCAATTTGCCTCCCCGGTTTTCTCCGTTTCTTGGAAGCGACGGCGAGAGAAAGGCTCGGGCTTTGGAGAAAACGCGGCTGCAACTGATTTTTTTCTCTCTCTCTCTATTATTATTTTTTTTTTTTCCCCCTCTCTTCTCTCCTACAGCGTGCCCAGCGGAGAAGCGATTTCTAACACACGTGGTCGCTCGCTCGCTCGCCACCCCCCTGCCCCCAGCCTCAAACCCCTCTTCACCCCGATTTCTGAATTCCCCGGGGAGTTCTGCCCACCGGAATAAAATAGAGAGGGATGGCTCCCACCTCGCTGCAAAAACCCACAGCTTCAGATCCCCAAAATCCCCCAGTTCCATCCACGGGGGTGAAGCGCAAGCTGCCCCCGGCCCCAGGGATGCGCTCGCCTCCTGGGAAGGGGAAGGAAGGGTTTGGGGAAAAAAAGGGGTTTCCAAGGTGCATCCAAAACTCCCCGGTGCTCCCAAGGGTGCGAGGAAAAGGGTCTGTCCAAACCCTGGGCTGCCGCCAGCGCCGGCTGCTTCGAGATGCTGCAAGATGCCCCGGAAGAATCGATAGCGTAGAAACGGCAGGGAAAAAAAAAAAGAAAAGAAAAAAATAAAAACCCAGGACAGATGGGGCTGAAGAAATAACAAAACCGGAGCCTGGTCTGGCCAGGAAGCGGAGACGGGAGAAGAGCGAGCGGTGGAGCCGCCAAGGGATGGAGGTTTTCCCGTTCAATCCCAGTTGCTGCTCCCAGAGGCGAGGACTGACCCTTTGGATTAAACACAACCAGACCTACAGCTTTTATTTTTATTTTTTGTTTTGGCAGGGTGATGAGAAATCACTTAATTAGCAATTAAAACCACAACCAGAAAGAGTTTTGGCGACGACCAAGGGATAAGGGCTGTTTTTAGCCCAACGCTCTGACTTCCAGCTGCCCCGCAGCCAAATTAACCCATGCTCACGGGGGGAAAATACAAATATCATGCAGAGCAGTGTTCAACCAGTATCCGTGGGGGTCTGTTGGGGGAATGTTACTGGGAAGAGGGAGGTTGGAAAACATCCCACAGCTGGGCGAGGACTCCTCAGTCCCATGAATATCCTAGCGCTGAGAAAAGCTCAGATTTGGCTCACTGTAGGGGAGGAAAATGCCAACAAACCCCCCTGTTTGGGTACAAGTAGCCCTAAGAAAGAGCCATTAACTTACGTTTCTAATTGCTTTACATCCCTGTGGATTTCTCTGATTGGGGCTTTCACTCTCCCAGCTCCGTATTAGCTGGGATTTTTGTTAACCTGCTGTTTGCACCCTCCTTACGGAGCCGGGAACAATTCAGGGCATTTCTAGAAGAACTTTTGCAACTCCCAGTTCTTGGAGGGAGCCCACTGGGACGGCAACCGAAAAGAATAAATTCAATCAGGCTATTTTCTCCTTTTCCCAGGTTATTTCTAGAGGAACTTCCAACTCCTCTCAGCATGGAATGTGCAGAGCTTTCCGAAAAGGCGTTAAGTGAAAAGACCATCAGGTCACATTGGGATCACCAAGGAGAGAGGGAATTGCTGAGGGAGAGCCAGGGACGTCGTGCGGAGGGTCTGGGAGGTGGGTGCTGCTCTGGGAGAGGTGGGCAGAGTCAGGGGGGGAAAGATCTCAGATGGTCTTTTTCTGTCCCCACTGGCCACTGCCGGGGGGCAGAGGGAGAAGAGGAGCAGCAAGAGGTTCAACCAGAGCTTTCTCCTCTCTCAACTTGGTCTCCAGAGAAACCAGGGAAGAGAAAGGGCACAAATCTGTCCAAGATAGCGCCCTGCAGGTGCTCAGGATAAAATAGCCCCCATCTTTCATGCCAAAAATGTACTTTTAACAGAGATTTGCCTCTGCAGTGATCCACAGCAACTGCAATTTCCTCCTCTCTACATTTCATAGAATAGAATCATAGAATTGCCCAGGCCAGAAGGGACCTCCAAAGGTCATCTAGTCCGACCTCATTTCCAGGAGGAGAAAGCTGTGGTGAGGACGACAAAGGACACACAAAGCAGCCCTGGAATCTAGTTTCACTTTATTTTAGCAAACTGCATGTTCTTCACTTATCAACATCTCTACATTAGCAATCGTATAACTCTCCAACTTCTCTTTTAAAAAAAGGGGTAAACAAGAGGTGACAAAACTCAGGCTCTTCATCTCTTTAAAAACGTTTGAAAGTTGGATTCCGAGAAGACTTTTACGTATTTTGGTTGGAAGGTAACAGATGTGGTGTGGAAACACTAACTCAAATCACCCGCCTTAACCCAGAACTCCCCTGTCCGGAGCCTCCCTCCGGCGTCAGACCGACAGCGGCCGCTGCAGCCCAAGCTCTGGAGACTCACCCTCAAAACGAAGCTCGGGCCGTGGCTGAGCAGAAAGAAGCCCCTCCAGGACTCAGTGCAAGTGCTGTATTTACACCGCTTCCTCACAGAAGCGTTAAGGACCTCGTCATGCAGGGGATCTAGGGAGGACTCTTCCGCCGTTGTACCTTCTCCTTAAGAATCACATTCCCCCAATCATCCCGTTCCTGCTGTCTAAAGATATAAAGATCTTCTTTGAAGAATTTTTCTTTCTTTTTTTTTTTTTTTTTTTTTAAAGCCAACCCTCCCCCCCGAAAACCCAAGAGGAACACCGTAAAATGTACAGATTATATACGTTCTAGAAAAGTCCTAAAATTATTGCAGAAACTAAAGCTGACTTGTTCCAGGGGAGGGGCAGACATGAGGCACAGCATCGGGATCTAACAGATGCTCGGGTTGGTTTGACTTAGTTTTCAGCTTTTTTTTTTTTTCCCCCCCATCATTCAAGAAAAAAAAAAAAAAAAAATTAAAAGAAGTGTTTAAGCATCAGAACTAAAATACAAATGCACGTTGACTTATAAAACAAGATTGTGGGTTTGACCATGGGATTCCCTGACAGTGGAAAAATTTTACTTTTTTGCCCGGAGAGATTTCCTCATGGTGGCTTTGCCCATGGCAGAGGGTTTCACTTCCTTCCTCCCGCCGGCTCCTGGTTTCTTGGAAGAGCTGCCACCAGAGGGTTTCTTGATGGCCGAGGCTGCTGGTTTGGCTTTCTTTGCGGGGGTTTTGACCTTGGGAGGGGGCTTTGCTTTCCCCCGATGGGCTGCGGGGGTTTTTCTTGGCTTGGGTTTGGATTCCCTTCGCTTCATCGGAGGGGCCCTGCTCCGGGATTTCGGAGGCGGCCTCTTCTGCATCCTGTCAGAGAGAGAGAGAGAGACAGCACAAGATCTCAGTGGAGGCACAAACACCACCCAGAGCAGAGCTGCTGGCGTCAATTTGCATAAACGAAGCAGATCTTGGCATCCTTGTTCTTCTCCACGGATGTGCCTTTCCGCAGCAGCCACTTCATTAGCTAAATCCCAAAGAGCAAGAACTCCTCTGGTGGATCTCACCACTCTAAGCACTTCTCAACCCCCTGGGTGATCTGCTGAGGTTTGGAGCTCCTTCCTTAGCCATATAAATGCACAGATAACAACAAGGAATCAAAGTCAATTGTCAGAACAATTAGAGACCTCAGCACTCTCTCCCCTCTCTAAATGGGTATTTATTACTTAATGAACACCACTTGTCTTAAATCCACATTCTGAGTAGGGCAGGTTTCATGCCTGGCTACAGAACGGCAAATACTTCTGTAGGGAAAAGTTTTCCTAAGGAAACATTTAATAAATACAAAGAGTCCCATGTGAAACATCACACTGTGGTAAAGCACAAAAGGCACATGGGAGACTAAAGGCAATACAAAGAATAAATACAGGCTGTCCTCTCATAGAATCACAGAATGGTTTGGGTTGGAAGGGACCTTAAAGATCATCTAATTCCAAACCCCCTGCCCTGGGCAGGGACACCTCCCACCAGAGCAGGTTGCTCAAAGCCCTGTCCAACCCCTCCAGATGAGGAAAAGCC